ACACTCCCTGTATCCCTGCTACACTCCCCTGTCAGTGCCTGCTACACGTCCCACATCTCTGCTACACTCTCCCTGCATCCCTGCTGACACTCCCTGCATGCCTGCTACCTCCCTGCATGCCTATACACTCCCTGCATGCCTGCTACACTCCCTGCATCCCTGCTACACTCCGCTGCAACACCCTGCTACACTCCCTGCATCCCTGCTAGCACTCCCTGCATCCCTGCTACACTCCCTGCATGTCCCTGCTACACTCCCTGCATCCCTGCTACACACCTCTGCATCCCCTTCTACACACCCTGCATCCCAGCAACACCCCTGCAAGTCCCTGATACACTCCCTGCATCCCTGCTACACTCCCTGCTTCCTGCTACACACTCCCTGCATTCCCTGCTACACTCCCTGCATCCCTGTACAAACTCTCCCTGCATCCCTGCTACCATCCCTGGCAATCCCTGCTACACTCCCTGGCCGCTCAACAAAGCCAAGTACCTGGAGACCTGACCATGTGACCAGGCTTGTCTGGTACTTGCCTGCTCAACAAGCCAAGTACCTTTGGAGCCTGTCATGGACGGCAGGCTTGTACTGGTACTTGCCATGTCTCAACAAGCCAAGTACCTGGAGGCCTGACCAGGACCAGGCCTTGTCTGGTACTTGGCCTGCTCAACAAGCAAGTACCTGGAGCGCGTGACCATGGACCAGGCTTGTCTGGTACTTTGCCTGCCAACAAGCCCAAGTACCAGGCAAGCCTGGAAACACACACACACATTATTCAAGTTAAAAAATAACAAGCATTAAGTAAAAACCCCAAATACTTTTAAACCATCAAAATCCTCTCGGAATAGGAGGAATTCCTCCATGGGAGTATCCCAAGGAATGGGAGATAACTAATTACTTAGAACAAGAGTCCATTTCCCCACTGTAACATCATGTCCCCACCCCTTTTCAAAGTGGTGTATATGATTTATACTGTATGGTATACAAATACTGACATGATGAAGAATTAAACACATGCAACATTAGGGTATTTTTATTTGAATACAGAACAGTTTATGGACGTGCATGACAAGAGCTAGTTGCAGCTGGCCATGTTGCGGAGATAGTTATATCCTGCACTCCTGATTACCTAAGACTAGTGTCAGTCACATTCATCACCGGTATTTCATGGAAGACCACTGTAGGCTACAATTAAACTGTTTTCAATTTATTTAAAGACAGGTGGGAAGTACAAGAAGCCTGTACTATGAAGGGGGATGGAGACGGAGTACAGTGTCCTGCACCGAGACCCTCGGTTATCGGCATAAATCTGTTCCAGAAGCTCTCGCCTAAAACCGAAATGGCACCAAAAACCGAAATAATATTTTCCGCCAAACAGAATTATATAATAACAAATTAATCCATTCCAGACAAAATATTCACAAAAAACTAATTTATTGAACAATTAAGATTAGATTACATACCTTTTTGAAGACAATGCCATGACTTCTGGAAGTTTAGGCAAGCCGCTACATCTTCCAGCATGCCTGCAACACATTCGCAGCATGCCTGCTACTCTTCCAGCAATGCCTGCTAACACTTCCAGCATGCCTGCTAGAACACTTCCACATGCATCCTACACTTCCAGCATGCCTGCTAACAACTTCAGCATGCCTGCTACACTTCCAGCATGCCTGCTACACTCCCTGCATCCCTGCTACACTCCCTGCATCCCTGCTACACTCCCTGCATCCCTGCTACACTCCCTGCATCCCTGCTACACTCCCGGCATCCATGCTACACTCCCTGCATCCCTGCTACACTCCCTGCATCCCTGCTACACTCCCTGCATCCCTGCTACACTCCCTGCATCCCTGCTACACTCCCTGCATCCCTGCTACACTCCCTGCATCCCTGCTACACTCCCTGCATCCCTGCTACACTCCCTGCATCCCTGCTACACTCCTTGCCTCTAAGCTTCTTTACAAAAGCAACTTTACTAAGAACTTTCTTTGGGGCCATGGTGACTTATTTCACAGTTACGCTTGATAAATAACCACCAAAAATAACGAATGATAGCGAAATATTTGTATGAAAGAACAGAAGTTTCCTCACTCACCCAGACACACAGCCAGACTAACACATCCCATACTGCCAATAAGCAAAATAATGGCCAATAACCGGAGGCCGAAAATACAGCCTATAACCGAGTTGGCTGATAAAAGGCATGGCCGATAACTGAGGGTCCACAGTACTATGAAGGATGGGTGGAGGTGGGAAGTACAATGTCTGTACTATGGAGGGGTGGAGGTGGGAAGTGCAATGTCTGGACTCTGAAGGAGGGGAGGAGGTGGGAAGTACAATGCCTGGACTCTGAAGGAGGGGTGGAGGCTGAAAGTACAATGTCTGGGCTCTGAAGGAGGGGTAGAGGTGGGAAGTACAATGTGTGTACTATGGAGGGGTGGAGGTGGGAAGTACAATGTACTATGGAGGGGTGGAGGTGGGAAGTACAATGTCTGGACTCTGAAGGAGGGGTGGAGGCGGGAAGTACAATATCTGGACTCTGAAGGAGGGGTGAGGAGGGAAGTACAATGCCTGGACTCAGGAGGAGTGGAGGTGGGAAGTACAATGTCTGCACTTTGAAGGAGTGGAGGTGGGAAGTCAATGTCTGGACTATGGTGGGGTGGAGGTGGGAAGTACAATGCCTGGACTCTGAAGGAGGGGTGGAGGTAGTAAGTGTAATGTCTGTACTATGGAGGGGTGGAGGCGGGAAGTACAAATATCTGGACTCTGAAGGAGGGGTGGAGGAGGGAAGTACAATGCCTGGACTCAGGAGGAGTGGAGGTGGGAAGTACAATGTCTGCACTTTGAAGGAGTGGAGGTGGGAAGTACAATGTCTGGACTATGGTGGGGTGGAGGTGGGAAGTACAATGCCTGGACTCTGAAGGAGGGGTGGAGGTAGTAAGTGTAATGTCTGTACTATGGAGGGGTGGAGGCGGGAAGTACAATATCTGGACTCTGAAGGAGGGGTGGAGGAGGGAAGTACAATGCCTGGACTCAGGAGGAGTGGAGGAGGGAAGTACAATGCCTGGACTCAGGAGGAGTGGAGGTGGGAAGTACAATGTCTGGGCTATGGTGGGGTGGAGGTGGAAGTACAATGCCTGGACTCTGAAGGAGGGGTGGAGGTAGTAAGTGTAATGTCTGTTTCTATGGAGGGGTTGGGAGGTGTGAAGTACAATGTCTGGACTATGGTGGGTGGAGGTGGGAAGTACAGTTGTCTGTACTCTGAAGGAGGGGTGGCATATGAAGTACAATGTCTGTACTATGGAGGGGTGGAGGTGAAGTACAATGCCTGGGCTCTGAAGGAGGGTGGAGGTGGGAAGTACAATGTCTGGACTCTGAAGGAGGGGTGAGGGTGGGAAGTACAATGTCTGTACTATGGAGGGGTGGAGGTGGGAAGTACAATGTCTGGACTCTGAAGGAGGGGTGGAGGCAGGAAGTACAATGCCTGGACTCTGAAGGAGGGGTGAGGGTGGGAAGTACAATGTCTGTACTATGGAGGGGTGGAGGTGGGAAGTACAATGTCTGGACTCTGAAGGAGGGGTGGAGGTGGGAAGTACAATGCCTGGACTCTGAAGGAGGGGTGGGGGGTGGGAAGTACAATGCCTGTACTAGGAGGGGTGGAGGTGGGAAGTACAATGTCTGGACTCTGAAGGAGGGGTGGAGGTGGGAAGTACAATGCCTGGACTCTGAAGGAGGGGTGAGGGTGGGAAGTACAATGTCTGACTCTGAAGGAGGGGTGGAGATGGGAAGTACAATGTCTGTACTATGAAGGGGAATGGGTTAATAACGTGGTAAAACATACATAATGTCCTTTTGTTAACTTCCACAGGAGGGGTTGTTTAAGTCACAAATGACCTGGGTACTATAAAGGCCAGGGGGTGAGTTGTGAAGGTACAAATGCTATGTGTTATATCATTGAAGGGGGTGGAGGTGGGAAGTACAATGCCTGGACTCTGAAGGAGGGGTGGAGGTGGGAAGTACAATGTCTGGACTCTGAAGGAAGGGTGGTGGTGGGAAGTACAATGTCTGTACTCTGAAGGAGGGGTGGCAGTATGAAGTACAATGTCTGTACTATGGAGGGGTGGAGGTGGGAGGTACAATGCCTGGACTCTAAAGGAAGGGTGGTGGTGGAAAGTACAATGTCTGTACTCTGAAGGAGGGGTGGGGGATATTTGCAATTTTGACCTGTAGTATCAGCACGCCTCTGGCAAAACAATGATGGACTAATTGATTGTGAAAGTGTTTCTTCTTTTTTGATCATACTGCTTCAGTGGGAGACCCGGTTTGTAAAAAAAAAAAGTCACAATACCAAAACTAGAACAATTCATAACTAACCCACAATTCTGAGAGGACACTTTAGACAACATTTAGGCCAATCTTGTACTATTAACAAGTCGTCAGCTACACAAGAAGGATCCAGGATGAACCAGAACACTGTCTAATGTTTCCTCACTAATATACAGAGACTCTCCTACATACGAACATTTGCGATGCAAACTTCTGATAATACGAGCAATTTGCCCAGGCCAACACCTTCTCACCTTCTGTTTTATTAAATTTATATTTACAAACTTTACTAGTGTACAGTATGTACATACCTTTCCACTGTTTTTTCACTAGTTCATATGTACATATTTGGGCCTTACGAAACAAAGTGGGCTTACGAACGACCTTGGACCTACAAAATGTTCCGTAAATAGGGGAGTGACTGTAGTTTATATTTATGGGGAAGTGTTGAGCCCATGGGGATCACAGCACAGAAGTAGAGGTAATCGGTGTTGGTTCAAGGGAGGGAAAGTGTTAAGACTCACTAAATCATAAAACACGATTGCAAACAAACCATGGAACGGGCAAAGTCTGAACCCACAGTGAGCGAGTCTGGCCAGGGGTTTTACGACTCGCTTGTTCCATGGTTTGTTAAGGTGTTAAGAGTTGCCTCATTTTATATAACTTGTGTGCAGGAGGAGCAGAGGGACGGAGAACCACTGTCACCAGTCAGCAAGTTCCGCCAGCACAGCCTCGCTTCCACAAACTCCTTAGACATGCTCGATGACGACCATGACCACCTATCAGACTCCCAACGCTTCTTCACACTCAAGGTAATCATTATTGTTGTATTCATGACTAAGGTGAAACCTGTAAGGGTCTTACAAAACCCTGAGAATGGGAAATAATCAGGTTGAATTCAAGGAAGGGCTACTACACTTACCTTACTGTCCAAGAAATATATTGGAAATGTATCTGCAGACTCAAGTTATTTCCTTAATTGTTTACTTTAAAAGCATAAACCAATGAAATAATCTTATTCATCACCCAATCTACTCACTTCACTCCATTCATCCAACCTGCATACTATCACCACCTCCTTCACTCAACATGCATGCTCATAAACGCCTTACCCCAACCTGCATGCTCACCACTTTCACCCCAAATTGCTAACCTACCACTCATCTTATCACCCCAACATTGCATACCTCACACCACTCCTTCACCCCCAACACTGCATACCTCACCCACCCCTTCACCCAAATGCATCCTCAACACTGCCTTCACCCCCAACATCTGCATACCTCACCCACTCCCTTCACCCCAATAATGCATACCTCACCCACTCCCTTCACCCCAACATTGCATACCTCACCCACTCCCTTCACACTTCATCTACCTTATGTCACCTGGCAGTGTGTACCTCCTGCAGCGTGGAGTGTTCCTGGAGTTCACACTGCAGTGGGCAAGCAGCACCAGCTGTCTCAGTGTGTATGTGGTTCGTCTAAACAGCCTGCCTCCCAAGTATCACAAGAGTAGCTGCACTCTCACCCTTACACTCACCAGTCCACCTAACAGGGAGGGAGGGGCGGTCGTCACCATCACCAAAACCTCACCCCGCCTCAGGAATGCTACTCTCAACCCAGAGTGCAACTACCTATTCTCCTACCCAGGTTGGTCAGAGTATAACTACCTCTTCTACTACCCAGGTTGGTCCTTCCAATTACCGTTCCATCCCTGTACAAAATGTCAGCTCTCAGACATTTTCATCAAAAATCCTGCACTTGGGAGAGGAACTTTGTAGCAGCAATTTGGTCCAGTCTGAACCAGCATCAAGACATTAGAGAAAATAGACACGAATGCAGTATAATGCAGTGGGCTCTATCAAGTCACAAACATATTTATCTGGGTAAAGAGTACATGAGCATATATAGTGTTGGGAGTCAAGTGGAGAATGTTGGGTAGGTTGCATCTGAGACGCACCTGCAGGTCCGTCTCAAATTCAACCTACCCATCATTCTCCACACTGTATATACAACCTCTCCTCACTTAACGACGGGGTCCCATTCCTTATAGTAGGTCAATAAATGAAATAGTCGTTAAGCGAAGAGCATACTATAATGGTAGTGGGTTTGTGTCAACCATCTCTAGAATTTTTTAATGTCACCTTTGCACCATTTATAACATTTTTTGTATATTTTTTAATGTTTATACAGTAGTGTACTGTAAACTGTAATAAACAGAATAGAGGAAATCAGCTCTAATATACATTACTTAGGTTTGCATACTGGTTGGAGAGCTGGTCGTAAGTCCGAGTGGTAGATCTGTTTGTGACTTGATAAAGCCCACTGTGTGGGCAAATTTATTATCATAATCAAAAAGAAGCGCTAAGCCACAAGGGCTATACAGCGCTGCAGGGTAGGGAAGGAAGCGAGGGAATTGGGCAGCAGAAGGGGGGAGGGGCGATCAGTAGGTTACAGAAAACAGCGGGGCAGGGGATAGTGCGGGGGTAGAGGGTAGCAAGAGATTGAGGTAGAAAGGGCTGAAGGTATCATCAGAGTTTGTGAAGTAAGTCAGTTGTTGTCAAAAAGTCAATGAGAGAGTCCGAATGAAAGGTGGGTCCATCAGCGAGAAGGGAAGGTAAAGAGAGAGCAGCGGAGCGAAGACGACGTTGGAGGTATATTCTGAGTGCTCGTTGATAAACTGGGCAATCTAACAGAATGTGGCTGACCAATAATGGAACCTGACAATTCGCACAGAGAGGAGCAGGGTGCCTCTCCATGAGATTCCATGAGTAAGACGAGTATGGCCAATGCGGAGATGGGAGAGAGTAGTCTCCCAACCTCGGCACTGGTGGCAAGAAGACGGCCAGTAACCTATACTCGGTTTAATAGATTGAAGTTTGTTACAGAGCATAGTAGACCAACGTTGTTGCCAACGGGTGTGAAGGTGGGTAGCTACTGCAGCAAAATAGTCCGTAAATGGAACACCTCTATATGAAACTGGTAGGTCATGTACTGCTGACCGTGAAGCAGTGTCTGCCTGTTCATTGCCCTGTACGTCAACATGACCTGGGACCCAACAAAAAACAATATCTTTATGCTTGGTAGAGATGCGGCGTAGCCAAAGTTGGATACGGAGGACTAAGGGGTGAGGTGTATCAAATTTCTGTATAGCCTGTAAAGCACTAAGGAAGTCTGAGACAACCACAAATGATGACACAGGCACAGATGCAATACGGATAAGTGCTGCAAGAATGGCATACAATTCAGCAGTAAAGATACTAGCCGAAGATAGTAAATGCCCTCGTACGACGCTGTCCAGAAACACTGCTGGGAATCCTACACCGTCAGAAGACTTGGAGCCATCTGTGTACACTGCAATGGCATGAGAATGAGAGTGGAAGTGGTCAAGAAAAAGAAAGCGGGAAGCTACCGTAGACAGTTGGGCTTTCGAGCATGGGAGTGAGAAAGAACAGACTCGAACAGCTGGAACTTCCCAGGGGGGTAGGGAAAGTGAGATGCTACATGAACATAGAAAGGTGGTAATTGAAGAGAAGACAAGAGCGAATGCAGGCGAAGAGAGAAGGGACGGAGCAAACAGGGGCGGTGAACAAATAAAGAATGTCTACTAATATCGGTGACCATTCTATAAATGGAAGGATTGCGGAGATCATGAGAGCATACATAATAGCGAAGGCAATGGGCATTACGGCGATCGGATAAGGATGGAACGTTCGCTTCTGCATAGAGGCTCTCAACAGGGGGAGAGCAAAAAGCACCAAGGCATAAATGTAATTAATCCTTGGTGATGAATGGGGTTAAGGCTAGAGAGAGTAGCAGGAGAGGCCGCGGAATAGATCTGGTCACCATAATCAAGTTTCGATAAAATGAGGGTGGAATGTAGGCGAAGGAGAGTTCGATGATCAGCTCCCCAGGAAAGACAAGCAAGGGTTTTAAGAAGGTTCAGCCGGCTGTGACAAGTTGCTTTCAGAGAGGTAATGTGAGGGTTCCAGGATAACCTGGGGTCAAAGAGGAGGCCTAGAAACCTGACTGTATCACGTTCAGGGATACGGGAGCCAGAGAGGTACAAAGGATGATCGGAGATAACAGAGCGTCTAGTGAAAGTAATTTGGTGAGTTTTGGTACTGGAAAATTTAAACCCATGTGTGGTGGCCCAATTGGAAACACGGTCGACCGCATGCTGGAGAGAAACTGTAATGAGGTGACAGCCGGCGCCTGCACAAGCTATAGCGAAGTCATCAACATAGAGTGATGACCAAATATTGGATGGAAGACTAGAGGCCAAATCATTTATAGCAAGGAGAAAAAGTGTTGTGCTCAGAATACATCCCTGGGGGACACCTTCAGCTTGGATAAAGTCCAGGGAGAGCACATTATTAACCCGAAAACGGAAATGTCTGCCAGTTAAAAAGTCCTTAAGGAAGGATGGTAGATTGCCTCGGAGGCCTAAAGAGTGGGCTTGGGCCAAAATATTATACATCCAAGTTTTGTCATATGCCTTCTCAAGGTCAAAAAATATGGCAGTAACTGAGTGGTTATTCGCAAAAGCATTAAGAACATGAGTATCCAAGCGTAGTAAGGGGTCTATGGTAGAATGGCCCTTACGAAAGCCATATTGACTAGTGGAGAGACTGTTGTGTGTCTCTAAATACCACATTAAACATCGATTTACCAGACGTTCCATCACTTTGCAAACTGCACTAGTAAGAACGATGGGACGATAGCGGGAGGCATCATGTCCCGTAGTACCCAGCTTGCGGAAAGGGAAAACAATGGCAGATTTCCACAGCTGTGGAAGAACTCCTTGTGTCCAAATAAGATTGTAAAGGCGTAATAGGACTGCAAGGGCTGACTGATGTAAATGTTGTAGCATACGAATATGAATGTCGTCGGGCCCAGCTGCCGATGATCGACAAGCTGAGAGTGTTGCCTCCAGTTCTTGAAGTGTAAAAGGCACATTATACTGTTCTTCTCTGAGAGAAGAAAAGTCCAAGGGTGCTAACTCTCTGGCAGACTTTGAGGAAAGAAACGAGGGGCATAGATGGAGCCCCTGACAAATATGGACGAGATGATTGCCAATTTCATTGGCAACATCTAGTGGGTTTGCTATATCAACACCGGCAACCCGCAGAACAGGAGCCGGGTCAGGAGAATATTTACCACTCAGTTTTCGCACTTTTTTCCAGACTGCACTCATAGAGAAAGCAGAAGTGATGGTGGAGACATAATCTCACCAGCAAGTGTGTTCAGCGTCACGGATGACACGGCAAGCAATCGCACACTTCTGCTTAAAATCAAGCAGTCTCTCCATGGTTCTATTGTACCGGTACCTGCCCCACGCAGTGAGTTTCTAACGTACTGCACGAGCACAAGCAGGAGACCACCAAGGCACGCATTTCTGAGAATGCCTGCCCAAAGTTTGGGGTATAGAATGAGAAGCTGCGGTTAAAACGGAGGACAAGAAGAGATGTAAAAGCTCATCAATGGAGGACGAAGAAGGAACCTCACTAAAAACAGTTAGTTGTGAGTAAAGGTTCCAATTTGCCTGATCAAATTGCCAGTGTGGGTTACGAAGAGGTGGCGATTATGAAGGGGAAGTAAGAATGATTGGGAAATGATCGCTGTCATGTAAATCTGGGAGAACAGACCAGGTGAAGTCTAATGCGGCGGAGGAAGAGCAGACTGAGAGATCGATGCAAGAGAGTATGAGTCCGAGAATCAAAATGGGTGTGAGTACCTGTATTTAAAACATGGAGGGAGTGGGTAGCAAGAAAAGCCTCTAATTGAATGCCACAGAAATCACAGTGAGCCCCCCCCAGAGGAAATGATGGGCATTAAAATCGCCAAGTAACAGAAGTGGTGGCGGTAATGACGAAACAAGAAAGGCAATATCCGGGATAGATAATGCCCGAGAAGGAGAGAGATACAAAGAACAGAGTGTATACCACCTATGCAAGTGGATACGGGCTGCTGTGTAATGGAGCGAAGTACGAACAAATAGCTGATGGTACGGAATATCAATGCATAAAGGGCACTTTCATTAAAGGTCTCATCAGGAAAAGGATCTGACGAATACAATAAATTATAGCCTGAGATGGGATAGATAACAGCAGAGTGTAATTTTGGTTCCTGTAAGCAAACACCAACAGGGAAAAACTGGGAGAGCAACATCTGAAGCTCACCCTGATTACCCGAGGCAGCGTACATTCCACTGTAAATAGGCCATGATTGGTAGCGATAAAGATACCTGAAGTCCGCAGGTAAGGGTACCTACGGACTAGAGGGGTTAGAAAAGTCCACATGCGGTGGCAAAGGAAAACGTTCAAGCAGCGAATGAATGGTGCGCTGTGAAGAAAGGAGTTGCGCAGATGGAGAAGAGGAAAGAGAAGGAACAGAGGGTGGATCAGTGTCCATTGATGGTTTGGTCTCAGCAATATATTCAGAGATTGCTTCAAGTGTTTTGGAGTTCAGAGATGTCGTATGGGAGACAATATTGGAGATGGAAGGAGGGGGAGTTTGAGTAAAGATCGGAACTGTAATGGACTGTACCATGGTATGAAAGGGGGGGCGAAATGGTGGAGGGAGCTGGAGAAGTGTGGGAGGGGACAGAAGAGGCAGGAACCTGGGAGGTGGCAGAAGAGGAAGAAACTTGGGAGGGGAAGGGGATGAAGGCACAGTACGTGGAGGAGGATGAACCTCCACACTTGTAACGGAGCCAGTGAAAGGGGAAGACCCAGGTACAGAGACTGGGAAGGTAAAATGTGGAGGTGGATGAAGGGAAGGAGGGGTTAAAGATTTGTTGGACCTCTGAGAAGATGATTAGGAGGTGTCGTACGAGGTCTTGTCGATACCGGGGTTTGTGAGGGAGAACACAAAGAAGCGAGGATAGACTGAGGTGTTGAAGTAGGGACATCTGAGCCCAGGACAGCAAAAGAATGAGATACAGGAGTGACTATGGGACTGGCAACCGCAGAGGAGGCTGCAGAAGATGGGACCCCGGAAGTGGGGGGCGTTTTGAAACACGAGAATAAGAAACACGGGGCAGTCTCCCTTGGAGGCGGAGATGAGAAACTGCCATAGCATAAGGGAGACCGTCTGCCTCTTTGAGGCAACGAATTTCCCACTCATTTAAGTAGACCTGGCAACGGCGAGAAGTACGAAGGGTGAGCCTCATGACAATTAAGGCAAGAGGGAGGTCGACTGCAAGACGTATTAGAATGGTCATCGGCACCACAGACTGGGCATTCGGCTATAGATCTGCAATATTTTGCTGGGTGGCCAAATCGCCAGCAATTCCTACACTGTTGCGGCATAGGAATCACCTTCCGAAACTTGTAACCGATGTCCTGCTACATAAACAGAGGATGGGAGTTCACGGCTGTCAAAAGTTAAACGAGCCACATTGCAAGGGTAACGTCTTCGCCCGCGGGCAGGAAGAACCTAAGTGTCTACCTTGAGAATTGGGAGATCTTGGAGTTCCAGCTGTTCGAGAATGTCATTGCCACACATCTGAAAATTCTGTTGAACTATGGTATGGGGCAGAATAACAGTACCACTACAAGAATTGAGAGAATGATGTTTTTCGATAGTGATAGGAATAGTATCAATATGTGAAAGAAGAGAAAGATCATGAGCTTGGGTAGAATTCTGGACTGTGATGATGGGTGTACCACTCTTAAGAGCATGAAAGGAAATATTTCTACCAACGTGGCGTAGGAGCGATTTTGCCAATACTATGGTCGGAAAGACAGGCAGTAGAAGAAGTCCGTCTTAAAGTAAAGAATTTAGTCCATTGTGTGGTCCGAAGCTGAGTGTGGGAGGATGATTGTATATTTTATCAAGTAGAATGGGAAGGTAAACAAAGTAAATAATACAGGTCTTGGCGGGGTGAAGTGGGAAGCATTCAGGCTAGATTGGGGAAATGGAGCGTGCAATTCCCTAAATCAGCCCGCACCAATAAGGAACTTCCGGGGGGCTATGTGCAAAGGCAGATGGCGGAGGTAAGGACAAAAACAAAGGAGTCAGGTAGAAACCCGGCGGCACTGGAAGGGCTGACGAAAACCGCACCGTAAGAGGAAGGCCTGGAGTAGTCAAGGGGTGGCGTCAAAAACAAAGGAGTAGTCAGAATGGGGTGCACGGTAACAAAGTAAGGGGCCTTAGGAGTGCCAGAGGGCTCATGAATGGGGTGCGGTCAATGGTGGTACTTTTTGTCGTATTTAAGTTAACTTTGAAAGAAAAAAAAGAAAAAAAAAAATAAAAAAAAAATGAAAAAAAGGGGGGACCAGGGAGGGATAGTTCCTAGGAGGAATGAAAGGGCCAGAAATCTCCCTTGGCACCCAAGAGGACCTCAGCACCGCAAGTAGCGCAGATGCAGCATGGAACCCGTGCCATACCCTACCCTTCATGCCAGTAAACCAGCAATCCGGGATAGCAACCTCACATCTGCCGAGCTACCTCGGTGGACAAAAGAGAGGGCGGCTGGATATCAGCCACAAAGCATACCTCCTTCGGCTACCACCCCCGGAATCCAAAAGGTGGCTTCCAGAGATACACCCGTCGCCCGAAAGACACCCAAAGCCACCCTCCGGGATACCGGAGAGGGATCGGGACATCCCCAGGCGATCCAGATTCCATGGCAAACTACGCCACCGCCAAGAACCTCAACGGAATGGGATGGACCCCGGTACCCTTTCCCCTACCTAGGAACTAGGGCGCCTGTGGGAAAAATCCCAAAGGTCAAAAAGTGGAAGGGCAAAAGGGAGGGGTGGGGAGGAGGAGGAGGAAAGAAAAATAAAGGGAGGATGGGTAGGATGGGATAGGGAAGGGAGCACCTGGGGTAATAGGTCGGTCTGAGGATGGAGACAACCAGGCATCCCAGACCAGAGCTCAAAACGGCAACAAGATACATAATGTGAATGGGATTTGACCACAGGTCTAGCTTGTAACCAACCACCCATAGGAACTAAGCGCCAATGAGTGAAAAACGAAAGGTAATAAAGAGGAGGAAAAGGGATGTGTGTTTTTTTCGGAAAGGCAAGAGGAGAACAGAAAAATAAAAGGATGGTAAATGGGATAGATAAGGGACCTTGGGTTAATTAGGTTCGCTATCTACTAGGGGAAGGAACAGACAGTTCTAATTCCTCTAGACCAAGAGGCCTTCACAAAAGCAAGGTAGTCAACCCTTCAAATATCACATTATGCTGCAAACTTTGTGTCTATTTTTCCACAGTGTCAGTATTTTATACCATTTATCTTCAAAACAATTGTGCTGACTCCTATACCATGTGCCTACCCAACTCTTGGTACATCAGACTAATATCCTCTCTGGTTATAATACAATTTTTATTTCTTTGCAAAGGTTACAATGTGTGATTTGCATTTTATATAGTGTTGTTAAGTACAAAGAAAGCCACTAACATGCCCGAGCATTTCGGACAGACTACTACTATGTTTACACACTACTTAAAACTCAATGTAGGTTATAGAGTCATAAATTTTAATTATTTAGGGCTTCATAGGGAAGCCCTAGGTCTGTGGGAGTTGTACAGTGTTTAAAAATAGAAGGTAGTGAGGTTTGATCGAAGGGGAGAGTAACTCCAATTCCTTGAATCAAGAGGCTTTCAACAGCAGCATTGTATCCCCCCCTCTCCCTCCCTTTGAAGGAAAGGGAGGGTGATTGTTACATTGGGTTACCCTGCCAAGGTAGGTAGGTCACCCTGCCAAGGTGCATCATCACCCTGCAATGTGGGCCATGCTGCCTAGGTAGGCTACCCTGTCTAGGTGGGCCACCCTGTCTAGGTGGGCTACCCTGCCTAGGTGAGTCACCCTGCCTAGGTGAGTCACCCTGCCTAGGTGATTCACCCTGCCTAGGTGGGTTTTTCTGCAGAGTTGGAAAAATGACACTTAAAAAAAAATTATTCCCATCACTTTGCAATTCAATGAGTCTGCCAGAGACAGTCATGCAGAGCAGAGTGACCCAGCACTGCATCACTGCTCACCTTAACAAAATCTCCCCCTAACACATCCAAACATCAGCTAAATATATGAAAACTATATATCCATATTCTGTCACTAACTTATGAAAAACAATATAATGTTATTCTTAATATCTGTAATCCCTACAACCATTAAAACAGAATGTGTCCACATTATGTTAATATGTTATGTCTAGTTTCAAGTAGTGTGTAAACACTAGTACAGTGGAACCTCTACTTGCAAGCGTGTCCACGTGCGAGTTTTTCCAAATACGAGCAGTCGATGGGTCGATTTTTTGCTTCCATAGGCGAGCAAAATTTCCACAAGCGAGCAAACCTCAAGGCAGGTTCCTTGACACTGGTGAGGGACTCTTGCTCTTGATCTCGGGAATTGTATCTCATTTGTTTGTTGGACTATCTTATTGAAACTTGGGCAATGTATGATGGAAAGATGCTTCTTAACATACACCAAAAAAGAAAGAAATCTAAGTATAAATAATGGAGTTCACTTCTCAGCAATTAGCCACCCCTTAGTGGTAATTTCGAATGGTTTTTATGGTTGTATTCTCTTTTTTTTTGGTCTCATTTGATAGAATGGAAGATATATTACAGAAATAGATATGATTTTGATTGCTTTCACAATGAAAAGTACCTTGAAATAGAGCTCAACCTAGGAGAAATGGTCCATTGCTTGGCTGTTTCAGAGTAAACAAATCACGTCACTGTCCATTCCAACATGTAGTCGTGAATGAGTTGACATTATTTATACAATTACTGCAATAAGGAATAACAGTAAATCTTATATTTTTTGTGTGAATAAAAGTTACAAATTATTTATATAATAATAATAATAATAATAATAATAATAATGAAAGAAATCTAAACACAAATAATGGAGTTCACTTCTCAGCAATTAGCCACCCCTAATGACATACTTTATTCATTCTAGAGTATATATCGTGTTTCTATGTTATTCATATTGTTTGTTATGTCATACTAGATGAACTGTGATAGATAAATAAGCAGTATAGATGATATTAGCAAAATTATTCATTAAGTATTTTGCCTGGTGTCCAGACAAACTCTCGTCCACCGCCGACACCGCCCATACCACTACATGAATGACATATTTTATTCATTTTAGAGTATATATCAGGTTTCTATGTTATTTATATTGTTTATTATGTCACAGCAGATGAAGTGAAATAGATAAATAAGCCGTAGAGTTGATATTAGCGAAATTATTGAAGTACAGAATTCCACTGGAACAGATTAATTGCATTTCAACTAATTTAAATGAGGAAAATTGACTCTGCAAACGAGCAAATCCAGTTGCAAGCAAGGACGTGGAACGGATTAAACTCGCAAGTAGAGGTTCCACTGTATTAGTCTGATTGAAATGCTCAGGCATGTTAGTGGCTTTTTTTATACTCAATAATATTTTATTACATGTAAATCACACATTGTATATTATGCAAAGAAATAAAAATTAATTTAATTTTAATTTAAAACTTGTGTGTGTTGTCAGAGGTATCAGTGGAGCAGCTTCGGCAGAGTATGCTGGTGTTCGGGCTGCAGGTGCGGCGAAGCAAGCACCTCCTCAACAAACAGGTGGGGGAGCTGCGCTATGCCCTGGGTGAAGCCAACCTCCAGCCAGACACACCACGCACTGTCACCAAGCCCATCATGCTCAAAAAGAAGGTACAGTTGACCCTTGAATTTCGTGATTAATCCATTCTGGAGTGTTTGCTGAAATTCAAAATTCACGATTTTCAAAACCATTTTCCCCATAAGAAATAATGTAAATCAAATTAATCCGTTCCTAAGTCTGCCCGAAATGCCTAGCCATGCTAAGCGTTCTAGTGGTACACTCTGTAATCATTATTTAACTACATGTAAACCACACAACAACCAAATTCTGTAAATTCAACATTGTAATCTTTATAGAGAATAAACTTTGAATTGAATTGAGTTCCAGAAACCCAAAAGTAATTAAAAAATATTTTTTTACATTAAATGTACACTTATCTACACAGAAAACAATGAGACATGAAGCATAAAACAATAACTTCACTGGAGAGTTGTTGATGTATGGAAGACGGGAGGAGGGGAGAGGATGGAAGAGTTACTATTGTCTGGAAAGGGAATCCCCTTCAAGACTTCAGGTACCAAGTCCTTTTCCAGGGTTACTTCCCTTCTTTGTTTTTTACTGTCACTAGGATCAGCTTGAGAGTCACTGGACCAGTCACTCAAAAAATTGTTCGAGAAAGGTCGGCTTCTGGCGTTTCTTTAAAATTTGCTTAAAATGAGACAAGACGTTGTCATTGAACATGTCGCATACACGGCCTGCAACAGCTTTGTCAGGGTGATGTTCCTCCACAAATCTTTCCATCTTAGTCCACATTGCACATCTCTCCTTAATCTCTGAAGAAAGCAACTTCTTCCCTCTCTCTTCCTCCTCCTCTGCAGCAATTTCCTGAGCTGTGGTCTGTTGCTGTTGCAGATTAAGGTCTAGCAGCTCTTCAGTGGTTAGCTCTTCACTGTGGTCCTCCACCAACTCTTCCACATCCTCCCCACTAACCTCCAACCCCAGTGACTTCCCCAGTGCCACAATAGACTCCACAACTGGCATAGGGTTGTCAGGGTCAGCCTCAAACCCTTCAAAATCTTTGTCGAGAACACATTCTGGCCACAATTTTCTCCAAACAGAGTTAATCATCCTGGAAGTCATTCCCTGCCAAGCCTTACTTGTAAGGTTTATGCAATGGAGGATATTGAAGTGATCTTTCCAGAACTCTCTTAGGGTCAATTCAGAGTCCAAGGTATGTTAACCCCTTGAGGGTCCGTGCCGTAGATCTACGGCTTTACGTTGAGGGTCCAAACCATAGATCTATAACATGAGCTCAGCTCACTCTGATAAGCTGTGAGCGGTAAATTTTGGCCTTGATATGAGAGAATACATCTATGTGGTATGTGTGCACCACATAAAACAAATCCTGCAGCACATAGTGCATAATGAGAGGAAAAAAACTGAGATCGTAATTTTCGATTAAAACAGCGACTTTGCAGTGTTTTTTCGTATGTTTTTTTATAGTGTATTTGCGATTTCTTGGTCTCATTTGATAGAATGGAACCTATATTATAGAAATAAAGATGATTTTTATTGGTTTCAGTCACTGGAAATGGTTGAAACTGAGCTCAAAGTGGCGGAAATGTTAAATTTTTGCCGATGTTCAAGAGTAAACAAATGACCTCACACATCTAATACACGCCAGCTGGTGGATCTAATATACGTTCACAAATGTGCTGATATTCTTTATACAATTATTACAATATTGCATAACAGTAAATCTTCTATTTTTTGGTTTGAATAAAATTCATTATGTGAATAAAAAAAAAAATGAAATTCATTAGTAAAGCCTGAAAACATAACTAATGAACAGAGGAAATGTTAATTTAGTGCCAGGAATACTGCATTGTTATTCTGAACCCTATTTTGAAATTGGAATACTTTGAACTTTGCAATAAATTGGCCAAATTACCAATTTCCGATCACTTTATTTTGTAGTTGAAATAGTTGACTTGGCGAATTCTTGTGCTCAATCGACAGAATATAAGTAATACTAGTGAAATAGCTAAGAATTTGGTTGACTGGAATAATGTAATTGGCCTAAAATGGGAGTCAAAGTCCGTAAAATCGCCGATGCGTAAATATGGCTGACACGTCAAAATTCGCGAGAGCATAATTTCGTCAATTTTCCATCAATTTCGTACTTTTTGTTTTATTACCATCAGAAAAAGATTCTCTAAACCATTTCATAAGAAAAAACAAAATTATTTTTTGAAAATTCTTGGACACTGGTGCACCCTTTGAAATTTGGCCTCTGGACCCTGAAAGGGTTAAAGCACCTTTGAAACATAGCTTTGGTGTAGAGTTTTTTGAAGTTTGAAATGATCTGCTGGTCCATGAGCTGGAGGAGAGGAGTGGTATTAGAGGGCAAGAACTTCCTTGTGATGAAATTAAACTCCTTCACCATTTGCTCTTCCAAGTCTGGAGGATGAGCAGGAGCAATGTCCATTATCGGGAGGCATTTCATACGACTACTGATTTCTAAGCCAAATCATAAAAATCAAGCCAATATTTTGATGAAAAAAGTTGCCGATTTCCAAAATTCGCAATATGTATTTAAAAAATACAGGTGCTCCTCGACTTACAGTGGTGCAACTTAATGATGGTGCAAAAGCAGTTCCTGTGCAGAGAAAACTTAAGATAATTACCCAGCATAAAGGCAGCAAGTCTGTAACTTGTATTCATTTATTTACTTTTCAATACTGGTATTTAAGTTATTTCATTGGTATTTTGTATATTATTTATTCAGTAACGTATTTATTTATTTACTTACCTTTATATTCATATTTGACTACAATATTTCAACTTACGATGGGTTCATCGGAATGTAACCCAATTGTAACTCGAGGAGCACCTGTAATTTCATCAGTTTCAGCACTAGACAAGATTCATATAGCATTATACTGTACCTTGTGTTCCTGCTTTTGTAGGAGTCAAGTCCCTGGGCAAGTGTCAGCAGTGGAGCTGGCAGTGAGGCAGTGTGGGGGCAAGTGCAGGTGGCCGTCCAGTACCAGGTGACAGGCACCTGGCAGGCACGGATAAAGGTGGTCCTCCTCCGAGCTCAGAGTGCCCCTCATCATAAGGTCAGCTGGTCTCTCGTAATCTATTAAAACAGATATAAAAAAATCAGTTTAACAGAAGATTATGTAAACTCATAAATAGGGAAACGTCACAGATAGAAGCAAGGAGAAATGTTCAAAGCAATGAACACGTCAGACGTGAGCAAGTACAGCTGCACTACATTAGAGACATTCCTAATACACACACTTCAGTTACGCAATATTTTCACTGAAGATCTTCCCATTTTATAGCTTTAAATTAATCATGAGCTTTCTACTGAGGCCCATTCCATTGTTTCTTGGCATTTTATGTACCACTTCTCATATTCCTTGACCCATGATACCTTAAATAGAAAACTAGTCATAAAATTTATTTCCAAATGGGCTTAAATGGATTTTCAATGAACGATTTTTCTTCCTTTCTGAACATTCACTCATGAATGCCAAAATTAACCAGATTGGGGGCAATATTAGAAATTGCTTTCTGAAACACAAATTGTACCCTTATCTAAATACTGTAATGCTGTATTTATAATACTAACAGAATTTAGCATTACTCTTCTTGTGAAAATCTCTGGGAAATTAAAAACTAACAAATTTGTTGACTCTACTGTAAAGTGTTGCAAAATTTTGTAGTGCAAATTGCAAAATCAGAGAAAATTTGATTTAATATACAGCCTCTCCTCACTTAACCAGGGGTTTTCCCATTCCCAAGGGACCACGCTGGTAAATGAATTCGTTGCTAAGTGAGGAATATACTATAATGGTAGTGGGTTTGTGTCAACCATCTTTGATATTGTTTTAAATGTCACCTTTGCACCATTTATAATTTTTAGTATATTTTTAAAGGTTTATTCAGTAGTATACTGTATATTGTAATAAACAAACAGAGGAAATCAGCTCTAATATACATTATTTAGGTATGCATACTGGTTAGGAGCCGTCGTAAATCTGAGTCATTGGTAAACAAGTACGTCGCTAAGTGACGAGAGGCTGTATAACGTATGGTATGGCTACAATCCTCAAGGCAAAAATCCAATTTCTTGGCCAATTAAAATAACAACATTACACACGTGCCAGTGTCATAAAAAAATACAATTTTTACTGCAAAAATAATACAAAAAATGAAAAATTAATAAAATGGAAAATTCAAATGTTTATTACTCCCTGTTACTTTTATATTTTTTAACCCAAACAAATAAATCAAATGATCTTTTACCAAAAAATAGAGGGAACACTTCATGTGCACCATGGGCCCACATTTTTTTTTAATCACACCAGCATCACCTAAAGGGTTTAGGGTGACCAACACATTCACAATCATTCATTCAATAGCTGTCTTCCCCAAGGTACACACACAGATCACAATTCAGAGGGCCCTCTGAACTATAAAAATTCTTACCCCTCCTTCAGTGTACAGGCACTGTACTTCCCACCTCCAGGCTCAAGTCCAACTAACCATTTCCCTGAATCCCTTTATTAATGTAACCTTGCTCACACTCCAGCATAAAAAACATTAATGATTTGATAAAAAAAACTGAGGGGGTAAAAAATACTGTACAACAAATCCATATATAAACTATTTTAATTAATCTAAAATATGGGTGCACCACATGTACTAGATACTGTACCACGTATTGCATTTGTGAGTGAGAATATTGTAAATAGAGCAATAGTAATTTTGTAATTGTGTATGAAATGTGTAATTAAAAACAATATTTAAAATTGGGTTTGTGAGGATGTATCACAGGAACAACAGCTATAGCAAACAGGACCAGCAGCTTATACAAACAGGAAAAACAGTTAAAATGAACATGAAACAGCAGATACAAACAGGAACAAGAGAACAGTGAATAACAGCTATACAAAACAGGGAACAAGAGAAATGGGAATAACAGTTATACAAACAGGAACAAGCGATAACAGTGAATAGCAGCTATACAAACATTGAACAGCTATACAAACAGGGAACACCTATACAAGAGGGAACATCTAAACAAACAGGAACAGCACCTATACGAACAGGAAAAACACTATAAGTGGGCATGAGGGCTGAAGCAACGAAAGAACAAAATAGATGAGGAATGGCTTATATGGTACAATCTCCGAAACATTGTAGAGGGGAAGCGGAAGAGTACAAGAGTGGAAGTTGTGGAGAAGAGAGTTGAGGAAGACTTTATCTGTACACCACACCAAGCCCACACCATGTCCCTCCCCAGTCTGGAACCACACGCTTTCTTCTTCGACCTGGCCCAAGAGACAAGGTCAGTACTGTACGCTCAAGAGGAAACTATTTCGTCAAGGTCCATCCACCTAGATAAGGACACCAGTGGCATGTACTCATGTTGTGTTCAGAGTTCATAGTAAGGCTAAGATACAGTTGGGCCCCACTTAAAATGGCAGGTAAGGTTTCCAGGCTACTTCCTAAAAGTAAAAATCGCACGTAAATTGGAACAACACCATTTTTCCCTTATATACGCAACTAAGATACAATGTTTACACTACACATATATTAATTAAGCAACAAACTATCATCATCAAACACTAATAAAAAAGTAAAATGACACACATAATAGTCTTCATTACTTACCTTAAAAATAAAATTGAAGTCTTAATGTAGGGTCAGAGGTTAGGTAAAAACGAGATAAAAAGAATAAATGAGAGAGAGAGAATGAGAAGAGGACAGGTTAGAGTTATGTAAACAAACAGCAAATTATAAGTTTTGCAAACAAACGAAGTGTACATGTCCGGTTTGTGTACAAGTAACATTTGTATAAAAACAAGTGTCCCTACATTGATACGGAAGAATAAATAAAGATGAACACTCCCATTCTAATGTAAGCAACCATTTTTTCGAAGAAATGACAATTCTGAGTAAGGCACTTGAAGTCCACTCATCTGAATTTTTTGGGTTATTCCGTGGTTCACTACACCAAGCTGTTATTATGAAAAATCTATGTAACTGTATATGTGAAACCTGAATCAAACTTAACATACATACATATTGGCCGTTTGGAGGGAATATGTTGTGATCTTTATACGTAAATGCTTCTAAAACTGTTGTATTCTGGGGCACCTCTGCAAAAACAGTGATTAATGTATTTTAGCAGGTGGTGAAAGTGTTGAATGATGATGAAAGTATTTCGTTTTTGGGTGATTTTTATTTTTTTCGTTTCTTTTTTGGGTCACCTTGATGGGTGGGGGAGTCTGCTCGTGGAGACGCGCCGAACTTGTTGCAAAAAAAAAAAAAAATACGATATGATAGAGTTGCGGATCTCGGGGAGCAATGTATGGCAGATGTTTGCAAGTATATGGAATAGGTGGAATTACTCAATGCTGTAAAGAGTTATTATATGATATTGAGGTCTCAGGTTTAGGGTGTGTAGAAGAGAGGGAGATATTTACCCGGTAAAAGTAGGTCTAGACATGGATGTGTAAACGTCACTAAAGAATTTGTCTTTAATTATAGTAATTATAGACTGGAGTTGTAAAAAAGTAAAATGCTAGGTGTACGGAGAGGGGGTGGGATTAATTATGGAGGGAATAATACAAAATGTGAATTGCCACAGTTGCTTTATTGCTGATGATACTGTGCTTATGGGAGATTCTAAAGAAAAATTCTGCAAAGGTAGTGGACCGATTTTGGAGTGTGTGTACAGTACAAAGATTGAAAGTGAACATAAAGAAGAGTAAGGTGATGAGGGTATCAAAATTGATTTATATAAAGAAAAATTGGATATCAAATTGGTGAAGAGTAGTATGGAAGAAAGTGAATGTTATCAGATATTTGGGAGTTGACGTGTCAGAGAAATGGAATTTATTGAAGGATGAGGTTAATTATAGAATTGATGAGGAAAAAAGTGAATGGGTGCATTGGTGAAATATTGGAGACCAAAAACATTATCTATGGAGGCATAAGAAGGGAATATAGAAAGTATAGTAGTACCAACACTCCTTATATGGGATGTGAAGCTTGGGTTGTGAATACAGCATCGAGGAGGCGGTAGGAGGCGTTGGAGATGTCCTGTCTAAGGGCAATGTGTGTTGTAAATATTATGCAGAAAATTCAAGAGTGTATGAAATTAAGGAGAAGGTGTGGAATTTAATAAAAGTGTTTAATACAAGAAGCTGAAGAGGGTTTGGATTGAGGTGGTTTGGTCATTTAGAAGAGAATGAGGATCCAGTAGAATTACAAGGAGAGCATTTAAATCTGTAGGGGAAGGAAGGCGGTGGCAAGGTCGTACTTGAGAAGGTTGGAAGGAAGGGGCCAGGGAGGTTTTGTGGCGAGAGGGGTTTGGACTTCCAGCGGCGTGCGTGAAGCATGTTCGATAGGAGATTAATGGAGAAATGGTATTTGGGACCTGACGATCTGTTGGAGTGTGAGCAGGTGGTAATAATTTAGTAGAAGGGATTCAAGGATAACCGGTTTTTATATATAGCCGGACTCGAGTCCTGGAAATGGAGAAGTACAATACTTCACTCAAAAAGGAGGGGTTTCTGGGATATATGCACAGTTTGGAGGCGATATTTGTTGTTTCTTATACATATATGGCTACTAACCGCGTTTCAGCTGTATTACTGAGCACCTCTGCAAAAACAGTGATTATGTGTTGTAGTGAGGTAAAGACAGATGAATGATGATGAAAGTATTTCTTTTTGGTGACACTTCTTCTTTCTTTTATGCGGGTCACCCTCCATCTCGTGCAGGAGACGGCCCAAACTTATGTTAAACAAAAAAAAAGAATAACTAAAACGAATAATTTTCTACAATTCATCACCCCAGTAACACATTTTCTCTGATGTTGGACTAGAGAAAATGTTATTCTTGCCATCACTCGTAAAAGTCTGGGCTACGACATCTCATATTTATGTTTATTCTATTGTGGGGTGTATTAAAATGTTATGCATTATGTTAATATATATTTTTTGAAACGTATCATAGATGGATTAAAGAAAATATGTATATTAACGTAATATATGACATTTAATGAGACTCGGTGATTCTATCATTACTAATATGATGT